CGACTTCTCCATCTTGGAGTGCTCTGGAACAACCAGTAACTCTTTTTGTGACTCGAGTGACCAGACTCGTCCTTTTTTTAAAAAATAACATAATTATTTTCCGAGTGGAAGATCTAGTGTATGGTTGAAAAGGAAATCCCACATCACAATACGCATTTCGAAATTTAAGGAGACCGTAAGTGTTTTGGACTTTAAAAAAGTATGTTCAATATGTTTGTCTGTGGAATTCAAGAGTTTTGTCCATATACTGAATGTTGAAACTGTGTGTTAGTAAGAAAGATATAAGCAACTAAATATGTTAGTAGATAGATCAGCGCTGTTCGCGTTGTAGAATTAGATTCTGAGACAAGGTTAGAGTTGCCTCGAAATTTGTTGTAAAATAATGAAATAAACTTGCACCTAATGCGCTGCAATTTCGTCTTAAGACTAAGCTTACTATCGTTAAGGAGTAGTTTAACCTTAAAGAAGGACAGTTTGTCTAATAATAAAAAAATTGTTGAATTTGTGATCATTTCCTTTATTCTCACAACCGTAATAATTGATCCAGGGGTGGTAATGAAGGGGGAAATTAGATGCCCATCACTCTCAGGGGTTAAGGGGTTAAATGAGAGACTAGGCGCTTTGCGGAAGAGTAAGTCATAATAATGTCTCAAACCACGTAATATCGGTGTCTGGTAGTGTGGGCTGGTGGGGCTTACTTACTGGTGGTAGGTGTCGTTCCAACTGCTCTGGTGGAAAGAAGAAATCATGTTATTTTTTAGCCTGGGGTACGCAAGAATTGCGGCAAGAACTTTATGGAGCTAAAGATGGATGTCTGATATTGTGGGTTATTGTGGTTCGATATCGTTTGTTGAGTGCTGAGCGGAAATCTTGCCTCAGAAGCTAATTATCGCAGGGTTTTTAAAAAGGAAAAAGACTATGCCTCCAAAGGTGCCGTATCTTTCAGTTAGTACTCACTCCGATAGGAATTTTAGATGAAATTGTGATGATTTGTTGTTGCGTTAGCTGGCGGTCGATGTACTTAACCCACGCTTACCCAGCTGTCACGCAACGCTTGAATCAACAAAGTTACCCGGTTAGAATAACCATTTGAGAGAATAAACCTGTTTAGGCCGAAAAGTGAACTTACCAACTGAGTAGCCGCTCTTTCGGTAATAAATGAGATAATCGAAGGAGTGTATTGGTAGAGTAACAGAGTACATAAAAACGAATTCTTAGTTCGTCTTGCTCGCCGCGCACGCGATATAGAAATAGAAGTCTGGGTACTGAATCATGACAATCATGTGATGGTCATTTGAAGAGACAGTGAGAGATTTCAAATTTACCTTGTGGTCCAACATTGACGAAGACAGATTACTGTGGATTGAGGTAGGGTCATGGAAACTGTTTAGTTCGAACGAAATTGAGTGTATTCAATAAATAAATATATGCATGAGAAAACTTTTGAGTATTTTGGACTTACTTATTTCCATGATAGCGCTCAGGTGTCAAAATTACTTTGTGGCACCGGAGTCTTTGATGCCCAATGACAAGCTGATTTTTCAACGATTTTGAAACATATTTGATCTTTTAGGAACTAAGCAGCCATGATCTAGGGATTACCTGGCCGCAATTTACGAACAACTGAATTCTGCATGCAGAAATTGTGCAAAACATCTCAGGTCGTCTCAGGCAGTTCATATGGGTTACTGGGGTTTTGCCAAAAAATTTAGCCATGCCTTCTCTCCTCCATGGGTACTTAATTGATGCCGTCTTTTAAGTTTGTTGATTTTTATTTTTGTCATAATAATTAGATTTCAGGATGCATATTTGGTGGTTTCTCTCAGGGCTGGTTCTTCTGTCATCATTAACATTGGCTATTAATCAGAATTCTAAACCCAACATCATATTCATTTTAGCAGATGATCTGGTGAGTACAATGGATTAGTTATGTAAGTTTCCTGATTGTAAGAAAGATAGCCTGCCCAATTCTCATTCAGTTGTTTTGAAACCTAGCATTGGGGTCATTTGCATGTTTTATTTTGGGGTAAGACATTTGACTCTTACAGTACCATTTTCGCCAGAAATTGTTAACCCTTTGGTCCCCAAGAGCAATATCAAGTTTCAAGGGACTCTCAAGTTTTTCTTCAACCATTGCTCAATGTTCTATTGCTCTAATAGGGATGGGATGATGTGAGCTTTCATGGCTCAGAGCAGATTCCAACTCCAAACCTGGATGGACTGGCTAACAGTGGGGTAATTCTCAACAATTATTATGTGCAGTGTCTTTGTACACCAACAAGAAGTGCTATAATGACAGGCCGATATCCCATCCATACAG